TGGTTAGTGGATGGTGACTATAACACTATTTCTAATGCCTCTGAGAGGATTTGTGGTAATGCTCCAAACTTCAATGCTATGGAAGAATTTAATGATATGATTTTATCTTCAAATTTACATGATATTGGTTTTACTGGGAATGCTTTTATGTGGAATCAAGGTACAATGTGGCAATGGCTTGACTGCATTCTTTTTAATAATTTTTAGATTTCTAAGTTTCACGATACTCACATTGAACATCTTTCTTGGACTTTATTGGATCATTCCCCCATGCTTTTGAACATTAATTTGAATTATAATAGTAGTCCTTTTCCTTTTAGATTTCAAAACATGTAGATTATCCATGATACCTTTTTTGATATTGTGAAGGAGAATTGGCGGGCTCCTTTGGATCCTTCTGATAACATTGTTGGCATGACTAGATTGTGGCTTAAGCTGAAGAGGCTCAAATTTAAACTTAATTGGTGGAACATAACTATTTCCAAAACTTTATTCTCCAATATTTTGGAGGCTGAAAGTCATGTTAGTGATGCTGACAACAAGTATATGAATGAGCTTCTAATGAGAATCTCTCTTACTTGAAGACGGCCAAAGACTTCATATTTAAGCTTCAGGATCAGGAAGAAGCTTACTGGAAACAAAAAGCTTCTTCTAAATTTGTTATTGAGAGGGGTAGAAATACCAAGTTCTTTCATAATATTGCTAACCATAAGAAAGTCACTAGTCATATTCATAAAATCTCTACTCCCACTAGTCTTTCTTTTGAAGATCCTATTTTAATTAATGATTCGGGTATTGATTACTTTAAAAATATGTTTAATAAAAACTTCTCTCTGAATCTGGATTTGGACTTTTCTTTTATTAATTATATTGTTACTGAGGAGGAAAACCAAATGTTAACTAAAATTTCCATATGAGGATGATATTTTTCTTACCATTAAAGAAATGAACATTGACTCTGTGGCTGGTCTGGATGGATTTACTACTAAAATTTTTTAAAAGTCCTAGCATATTATTAATGAGTATTTAGTGAATGTTGTTATTGATTTTTTCAAGGGTTCTATTTATCCAAAATTATTCACTGCTACTTCTATAGTTCTTATTCCTAAAAATAATGTTACTAATTTTTGGAGTGATTTTCATCTGATTCGACTTTGCTCTTTCTTTAAGTAGCTTATTGCCAAACTAATTATGTGCATATTAGCTTTACTTCTTCCTAATATTATTTCTTTAGAGCAAACAAGTTTTTTTAAAGGTCGTTCTATTTTTGATAATGTTATGCTTGCCCAGGAATTAGTTCATGACTTGGAAGCTAAAATTTTTGGAGGTAATGGTATTTTCAAAATTGACATAAGCAAAGCGTATGATAATCTTAACTGAACTTTCCTTTACATGATGCTTAAAAAATTTGGCTTCAATAATGAGTTCTTTAAACTCAATAAAAATAGTATTGAGCATTATTATTTTTCTGTCATTATCAATGGGAAAAGTCAAGATTTCTTTGGTTCTTCTCATGGTCTCACGCAAGGAGATCCTCTTTCTCCGGCTTTGTTTATTTTGGCTATGGATTTTTTTCTCTAGAGGCTTAAATGATTTATTAAGAAAACATCCTTCATTATAATATCGTACTATAGGTGGTTTCCCTATTTCCTATTGAATTTGTGTGATGATGTTATGATTTTTACTAACAACTCTAGAAAAATGCTTAATATTAAGTTTAAATATCTTGGTATTTTTCAAAATTCTAGTGGGTTAATGGTTAAACATAATAAAAGCTATTTTATTACTGCTAAGTCTATTTCTCACCAAAGAATTAATGCTATCTATCGTGGCTATGGTTTCATGCACAAGCATCTAGCCCTTAAATACTTGGGGACTCCACTTGTCAAAGGTAAGAAGATGTCTCATTTATTTGGGGACATTTTCACCAATATTCAAAAAAATTTGACTACTTGGGCATTTAATTTTCTTTCTTTTGGTGGTAGACTTGTGCTTATCAAAAGTTTTTTGAGTTCTATTCATATCTATTTTTTTAATACTTTATATCATACTATGAATGTTTGTAATAAGATCGAAAGAATTTTCAACAAGTTTCTTGGGGGCAGTAAAGACGGTAAGTCTGTTATTATTTGGGCTTCTTGGGATAATTGTTCTAGCATCCAAGATGAAGGTAAGCTTGGTCTTAAGAACTTGAGTGATATGGCTCTTGCTTTTTCTTATAAGATGTGGTTCAATTTTAGATCCAATATTAGCTTATGGAAAAACTTTATGAATTTAAAATATTGCATGGGTAAGCATCCTCTTAGCTGCTATTTCAAAAAGGGAAATTCCTTTAATTGGAAGAGAATGTGTTCCATCAAGTGGGATGATGAAAGCTTCATTCAATAGGGTTTGCGTGCAGGTGACATTTTCTTTTGGCAAGAAAATTGGTTAGGTTCTGCTACCATTGAAAATTTACTTAAAACTCACTGAATTAGTACTTCTAAAGTTTCATATTTTTTTCATAATGGTAGTTGGAATGTGCATTTCCTTGCGGAGCAGGTACCTGATTTTATCATTTCTCTTATTTTGAAATTGCTAAGAGTGATTGTATTCTTTTTAACAAATCCAATGATGGTAGTTTTTCTTTCAAGGATGTTTAGCATGCTATTAGGGATGCTAAACCTAAAAATCAGATTTTGTCTACTATTAGGCAGAAAGGTATTCCCATCTCTTTTTTTATTCTTATTTGGAGAATTTTTAATAATTATATACTTGTTGGTACTATTCTTAGCAAGAAGGGTTTTTGTATTGTTTCTAAATGCCAGTGTTGTTATCACATGAAAACTTTAAATCATGTTCTTGCTAATGGGTCTATTGCTATTAAAGTTTGGATTTATTTTTAAAATGGCTTTAATACCCTTATCTATAAAGATTACAACAATATTAAAAATAATTTTAAAGATTGGTTTACTTCTCCGAAGAACCATATCCATAACATTTTACCTATTATTATTTGTTGGTTTCTGTGGAAGAGTAGGAATGAGTCGAATCATGAGAACATACATATGAATGCTAATAACATTATCATCAAGGTTAAAGATAAGATTCAACAATTATATTTGGCAAACTTGATTAATAGTACCTCTTTTACTGGTTGTCATCCTCTTGCTCAGCTTTTTGGTATCAATTTTATGTATACTGCTAATTTTCATAAAGATACTAATGTTAAATGGATTAAGCCTCCTAAAGGTTTCTTCAAACTTAATGTGGATGGGTCTTTTAAATTGGAGAAAGCTGGTTGTGGTGGACTGATTCGTGATCATAATGGTCAGGTTCTTGTTGGTTTTGCTGGCCCGTCAATTGCTAGTAATGCCATATTGGCAGAGCTTCATGCTTTAAGTTATGGTGTGCAATTATGTTCCTCTTTAGGGATTGTTAATCTTTGGATTTAAGTGGATGTTATGGTGGTTATGCATTACATTATTAGCAAAGTTAATGTTAAACCCTATTATTTTTATACCATAAGAGCTATTAAACATTGCCTTGCGGGTATCAATTTTTATATCACTCACATCTATAGAGAAACCAATTATGTTGCTGATTTTTTTGCTAATTTTGGTTGCAATCTATTGGATTTTAGGGAGTTTATGGGATCTAATCTTCCTATCAATATTATTGGCATATCGCGGCTGGATCGTTTGGGTTTACTGTATGTCAGAAGTAGATAATTGCTTCTTTAGTTTTTATTGATGTTGCTTTGTTAGTTTTGGTTTTTGGTATTATGGCTTTTGTTATGGTTATTAATCTCGATCGTTTCTTACTGGTTTTTGCTGCTTTGTTTGGTTGGAGCTTTCTGTTGGATACATGGTTTTTAACTGGGTGGGTGGATAAACTACAGTGACTTCATTTTTTCCAGAGCTATGCTTTTGTTCTTGGATTCTTATCATGGATTGGTATACATTCGACAGGTCTGTTGGACCTAGCAGCATTGCATTATTAAGTGGTTGCTTAGATGGTTTTGCTTTTACATTTTGGATGTCTATATGTTCAATGCTTAGAATGTGATTGTCTCCATGCACAGATTGCCCGAACACTATCAAAACTATTGCAGCTATTATTGTTTCATTTTGTCTATTGCAGTTACTTTGAAAGGGAGTAAAAAGGATTTCTTCACGGTTTATGTTAAGATCATCATGATCCTTTTTAATTGGGGCTTGAATTGGTTTCATATGTTATATAATTACAATATTCCTGTGATCTTTTTATGTTGATATTATGGATTGCCATTTGTAGGTATCTTATTATACAGGTTCAGTGGAACAAGGCTTTTGTAGATGTTATTCCAATTTTTTGCTGGAAGAGGGCGTTGATCTCCGATCTTTTTTTCTTCCTTTTTTGGATGTTGCCTCCTAGCAACCCTAGATTGTTACTTGGTCATTTTGTATATCTTAGTAGTGGAGACCATTAGCTCGTAGGATTTATTTTGTTTTTTGTAGTATCTCGTCCTAGCATTAGTGAGCTGAAGGTCCACCTTAAGGACCTTGTAATTCTTTTTTTAATTAACGCATAGGCCCTCTTTAAATTTCCAAAAAAAAAAGTAGCAATAACTAGACAAAGGAACGTATATAACTGCGTGTATAGAACCGATCACTTTGGATTTCTCCTTACCACAAGACCCATGCTCGAGCTCACTTTTGCCTTTTATTTGTAATTAATTGCTTAACGCCCAATAAAATGAATGTCTATTGCTGTTGTTAAATAGAAAGGCTTGTTACAGCTTCTATTCCATTGCCTTTTTCATATGGCCAAAGTTCAGCTATTTTCCCTTCCTCTTCAACACCTTTGGGCGGTGACTAAAACTCAATGCAATATCCACTGCAATTTTTTAAAGAATCGCAATAGATTAAGTTTACCTACTTCTCCCTCTTCATCATCCTTAAGACAGATTTAAATTCAATGCAGTACCATCTGCAGATTTTTAATAATTACAACATATTTGATTGCAGAAGAGATAAATATACTCAAGAGAAGCGTCATATTTATGCACACTGTTCAACATTTTTTGAATATTCACACATACAGCAAATGGAAATTTGAGGTAAACATTATGAAAGTCATACGTATCTTTAATATCTACATAGTTTTTTTCAATAGCTCAGTGTGCCCAACTTCAGGAAGACTAAACAGAATTTGTCTCACTTATCAGAGCTGGTCAAATTTACATTAATTTCCATTAGTTTCTCCACAGGTTGGCGACATATGGGGCACTTATTTGATTGGACCCGCAATGATTTTGCACAATCACTACACATACACTGGAAACAAAAAAAAAAACTTCAAAGAATAAGCAAATATACGAGAGAAAACTAAGGAAAAACTAAGGAAAAACAGTAAACATGTAAAACAATATCTGAATTCTCACCAAATGCCTGCAGGGAAAAACAGCAGTGTTCCTTGTTTCTGTCAAGCAGATTACACACTCCTTACCAATATCATCATCCGCATCATCTACTGGTTCACTTGAATCTGCCAGGCCAAATATTTCTTGCAGCTCGTAGCGTTCACCATCAAACCATAAGATTTGCTTTACTACTTTAACTTCAAACGCCCCTGTATTATTCTTCTCAATGATGGCTAATGTAATCTGCAAGTGAGTTGCAGCAGACTGAACAGACTGGCCATCTATTAGAGTTGGTCCGCATGCTTTGGCATAAATAACAAGCGGGAAGACTTCTCCGTTTGCTGGCTTTGAAAGACTTTCTAAATCAAAGAAGCCTAAGTCAATGCCATGCCCTGATGGTTGACAAAACTTTCTCGCTGTTCCTTTCTCAAAAGGATAACTCCTGGGCTTATATATATCTTCTTCAATTGATGAAAAGCTACAGTTGGCTCCTTCTTTAGCAAAATAGTATATAGTTACGCTGCAGGAGAAGAAAAAGCAAATAGAAATCATCAGAAAATCGGTTGGCAATTTTTATATGCAAGTCATACAGGCCTCATTGGTTTTCGGATTCTATTGCGGATCATGATGTTTTAGGCTTTAAATCAGCCCTAATATATCTAGTAACAAAAATAGAAGCTAGAGTGTATATGATTCTATAACATGTGACAGGTTTCAGAAACAAGAATTATGAAAAGGAAAATTCGTGAATCAGATCTATGAATTCACATTTCGTAGGATTGTTAGTACCTTAAGTAGTTAGTTGGATTCAAAAAGGATCAATTCAAGTAGGATTAGTAAATCCTATAAATTTAGATTTACTAAATCCAATTTTAAACGCTGAAAAACTATTTGGCAAGATAGAGGTTAAATCCAATTATATCTTCATAAATTGTTTAGATATTTATTTTAGTATTTAATGTCTGTTAAGTCAAATAAGATTTAATTATTGATATTGAAACTAATACATATTATATAATTATAATGAAATTAATTAAATTACACTTAATTACATTTATTATATATTAATATCCAAACTAATTATTAATTAGTAAATTATTTCACATCTTATTTTAGAATTTAAGAATTTATATGATTGCAATATCTTTTTTTATTTATTTAAACTATATCATCTTAGTTAGACTAATAAAATCATACTTAGCTTAATTAAAATTTTATTTAATTATTAATTAGTAACTTACTAAGTTAATTAAGCAATAACTTCTATTTAGACAAACTAAAATAAAAATAATAATATCTTCTAAGTTAATTGACATTAATTTTTAAAACTAATTTAACGTTTTACTTAATATGTTTTAATTTACTAAAATCAACTCTAAAATTCATATGAAAGGCTTTCCTTCAAAAAAATTCATATTCTCCACATTTCAGATTTAAATATGTTAATTCAGATAAAATTTTAAAAATACCAAATTATTTGCTAATATTTGTGATTAATTAAATTTAATTATAAAGATTAATTTTTTTGTATCTAATTTACACAATTGAATATTACTCATTCTTGATATATAATCAAAATATTATCTTGATCGGGTACGAAACTCCTGAGACAAAATGAAGTTGGAAACTTCAAAAATTAAATCCGGAACCATCTGAACTAGATTTCAGCAAACTTACAGTCGAACTGAATGTCTCGAAAATACGAACACAACGACACTAAATTCGACCCAATCCGAGCTCAAATGGGTCCAAATCAAAGACCCGGAGAACATTTAGAATTTTTTCACAAATCATAATTCTAGTGAGAGAGACTCCCGGATTCTAGTGAGAGATATTTTTATTTTTTTCAAATTTTTTTCGATCCTATTTTCCTGGTTTGATTGTATGGTGGCGGAGGACCGGCGATGATCGGAATACTTCCTATCCCCATTCTGTTAGGCATCCAAATGATTCATTTCATGGTGGATCCAAAGGCAGAGGTGCTTCAAATCGGGAAGTGATTAAACAACGCCCATTGATCATCACTAAAGGTCGTCTCCCTCCGGTGCAAAATGTGGTCTCGGTGTTGGGTAAGTGAAAAAAATCAATGGATTCTATTGTCTCAGCCGATAAAGAGAAGATTTCGGCAATTTCTTCTTCCCCATTAAAAATTTTACTGGAGTGGTTAACGATTCGGAGGCTTCATCTTCCACCGGTTTCAAGTTGAAGGTTAGCAGATTTTCAAATCATTCCTGTGTTGAAGCGGAAAAACAGGAAGCTTTGAATTTGAATACCGGTATGTCGATTCTGGATAAATGTTTGAATGCAGAAGTTGAAACACATATGGAGAATGATATGAAGGTTGTTCCGAACCCTGATAATTTTGGTTTGGTGAATGAATGGTTTAAAAACCAGCACATCAAAATGGCTCAAATAGAACCAGATCCTGAAGAAGCTATAGATCCGAATGTGGTTAAACTTAATATGGATAAGGTATGTGAAAATGTTAAATTACTTCATAAATCTCTTTTGGTGAAAGTGTTTGAGAGAGAAGATCCTTTTTCTCTTTGTAGCATTGAATTAAGACGCCAATGGAATAAATTTGGGAGCTTTCATATCACCTCATTGGGTCTAGATTGGATTTTGTGTTCATTTCAATCTTCTCAAGTTATGGAAGAGGTACTTAGTGGTGGTCCTTGGTATGTGGGAGGAGACATAGTTGGAATGGATAAATGGACACCTCAATTTTCCCCAACCTCGTTAAAAGGGTTGTCCTCACCGATTTGGATTCGGTTACCACATTTGCCTTTACATTGTTGGGATGAGATTAATGTTACTAAGATTGTTTCTAAGATAGGAGTTCCTTTGTTTTTGGATGGAAAAATGTTTAAATGGGGTAGACGTGAATTTGCTAGAGCCTGTGTTCGAATTAATCTAGACTCTAAATTATCTCATGGTGTTTGGATTGAAGGTTTATATGGAAATTTTTTTCAGAGAGTGGAATATGAAAAAATATCTACTTTGTGCTTCAAATGTGGTAAGATAGGCCATAAGAGCGATATGTGCCCGGATGTTCTTAAAGATGTTCAAAATAAGGTTCAGAGTAATGGGAATAAAGATACAAATTCAGAGGTTGCTTGTAAAACTTCTGAGAAAAATTTGAGTGATAAATTGCCTATTGCAGATTCACCAAAGTATTATGGTCCTTGGAAACATGTGAAGTTCAAAAATGATAGAAGAATGAAGAATATTCAGAATCATAAATCTGAATGGTTGGGAATCCTGGGAAGAATTCTGTTCTTATGGCATCTGAGGAATTGCCTTATCTAATAAGTTTAAGTTGTTGTCTAAAGTTTTGCTGAGGAATTGACCAGACTGGATGCGGAAGTTGTAAGAGATCCTGAGCCAATGAAGCAAGACAAAGTGCACGGAACAACTACTGATATTGAAGATTCGTGTTTGGAAGGGAGAAATCCTGTTTCAGTTTTTTCCATAGAATCGAATGCTGCTGTTATTGATCCAGTTCAGTTAGAAAATGGTGAGTTTGTTCCTAATGCTGAAAACTTTGATGATGTTGAAAAATAACTAGATATAAATTCTTATCATCAAGGTGAGCTCTATGGAAATAAGGTATCTATTGGAAATTCATTAAATCTTCCTGCTGTTTCTTTAAATCCTAATGGAGGTATTGATGATAACAAATGTGATAAGGGTATCATTATATCCAAACCGTTTGAAAATAATTTAGAAGTTGTGAATTCTGGAAATGATTTCGGTGGGGTGGTTGGTGAAAGCAGTTCTAAAGCTTCCCAAATTCTGAAAATGGGAGAACTATTGCAGTCCCTCCTTTGGTATGTAAGGAAATTGTGAATGATAATGAAGGCTTCATTGAAGGTAAAAATAAGATCCGGTTGTCATCGAAATTTGTTCAACATAAGAAAAAGTTGAACAAGGCTTTGAATTTGTTTGGACCTATCAAAAGCAGTCTTAGAGGAAGGAAATTGGGAGTTCTTGGTGAAAGAGATGGACGCAATTCACCATTTATCTCATAATGAAGTTTATGATTGATGAAGGCGGAAGGTGGCAAAAGGATGGGGCCAATGATCCTGATGGTTTTTGATAATATGAAGCTTATTGATTGGGTTTTAGTAAAAATCAAGGCATGGTTTGGGTGAAGACAGTGGAGGTGGTGCAAAGCAGACCGTTTGGAGCTATGAAGATCTGATGTTCTTCTTTGGTCATAGAACTTTGGCTATATCTCATACATTTTTCTTTTATTAGTTGTTTTATTTTATTTTATTTTATTCTAGTCTTTCTATTCCTTATTTTTTACTTAATCGGAAAATCTGGGATACTAATCAACCTTTTTGGTTGTTTTATTTTTGGTATCCCTTCCACCCCAATTGGTTTAAAATGAGGAGTGAGGATCTTATTTTTATTAAGACATTTCCTACTTTTCAAGTATTCCTCTTTTGCTTAGTTTAAATTTTAATAAGGCTTCCTTTTTCAACTTTGAAAGGACTGCCATTAATTTCCTTATCTTCTAGTTTGTAATAATTTTTCTTTTAATGCAATTTGCATTCTCTAAAAAAAAAAAGGAACATTTAGAAGGTTCAAACCATAATTTAGATTATCAAACAGTTTCGAAACGTGACATGCTTATAGTCGAATCGAGCGGCTCGACGAGACGAATCCAACGAGCCTAAGATCGCCAAATTCTAAAATCATTAAGGCATTCAAATGTCCAGAAAACGGTCCATGATCAAGGGAATCCACATCAGACTTCTGCTCGTCGCAAAACTTCTGCCAGTCACAGGACTTTTGTCTAACTTCTACTCGACGTCGGACTTCCACCCATCATCGAACTTCCAACCTCCTTCGCCAGCCGACTACGGTCCATCCAACCACCTTCACTAGACAACAGTCTTTTTGACCATTGTCGCTCGCCGACTACGGTCCTTCCAACCACCATCGCCTGATAATGGTCTTTCTGGCCACTATCGCCTGCCGACTATGGTCCTTCCAATCTCTGTCGCCAGCTAACTACGGTTCATCCAACCTCCTTTACTAGACAACAATCTTTATGACCATTGTCGTCCACCAACTACGTTCCCTCAGACCACCATCACCAGACTACAGTCTTTTTGACCTTCGTCACCCACCGACTATGGTTCTACCTACCAAGCAAAGATATCAATAGTGATTCTTTCAAGTACAATAACGTAATGCATTTTATATGATGTATATTTATTACATCTAGTCAAGGCCTTCCCCCAAGGAAGGACCTCATGAATTCATTCAAAATGGGTCAGGCCCTATGGTTTTTCACATTTTAAGGGTTTTCCGCTTAAAAATCTTGGTGACTCTTCTGAATGCTACACCCTCTCTTTTTATCTATATGCGTGTTGGATCTTCATACAAAGCTAAGACGTTAAACTTTATATTTCTCTATCACCACGAATATTCCAAGACGCAACAATTATAATTTAAAAATATATATATAAATCTTAATTACATAAATTAATTCATATTTATTATATA